AGATGAAAAGATTTCCATGACTGAATAGTGGTGAGGAGAGCACTCCAATGTGAACTGTACTTAAAAACGGTTCAAAGGGGGCTGGGGATGTGGCTCAAGCGGTAGCCCGCTCGCCTGGCATGCGCGGGGCGCTGGGTTCAATCCTCAGCACCACATAAAAAATAAAATAAAAATGTTGTGTCCACTGAAAACTAAAAAATAAATATTAAAAAATTCTCTCTCTCTCTCTCTCTCTCTCTCTTTAAAAAAAATGGTTCAAAGGGTAATTTTCATGTGAAGCATATTTTATCACAATTTTTTGAAACTTTAAAATAATAAATGAACAACATTTGCCATTTATTGAGTACTTACTATGTACCAAACACTATACTACATGCTGTGCAAATATGTCCTAATTTCTCCTCCCAAAAGCCCAAAAGCCTGGAGGAACTAAGTCTTCAAAACCTCAAGCTGCATACGCCAGGGGCATTCTAGTCGGTGGAGATGCTGCCTGCGGGACAGAGGAGACCTTTCCTTCTGGCAGCACTGTGGAATGAGAGTGCACACAGGTGGCTTGTCCTTCTCTACGGGCCCTCACACTTGCTCCTAGAGAAGGAAAGCCCTCCTGCAAGCCATGGTATAGGCTCGACCTGTTCAGAGAAACTCCTGACCTCAGTACCTTCCAGCCTTTCCTGTTACTTTTCCCCAATCTCTATTCACACCTTTCCCCAGTCACCATGGCTCTAGAACTTTCCAGTCATGTCTCCCACCCCATCTAGACCCTGGGCCCCAAACTGGAATGCTGCCCTCCCCACACCAAACCCCTTTACCTTACTCCATTCTGGCCGTTCCAGTTCCACATCTGGACTCTTCCCCAGGGCCACCACTAGCACCCAGGGGGCCTGGGACATCCTCCAATGGACAAGGCTCCGAGCTTGGGCAGGAAAGCACATGCCCCACAGGAACAGTCCTGGCACCGCCTCCCCACCCTGGACTCACAGCCCTGCTGCAGAAAGACCTAGAGAGGTGCCGCTTGACATGAACTGGCCTGGCAACCCTTCTAGTGCCACCCCCACAATGCCCTGGACACTGTCAGGGTGGGCTGTTGCTGACATTCCAGTCTAACCCCAGAGACCACATACACCCCTGACCCTACCGGGGCCTCCACTCTGAGCCTTCCCACAGGCTGCCGCTGGCAACGGAGCGGCGGCCTCAGCTCTCCTCTGCTCCCCTGGCCACTTCTCTCCAAGTTCTCAACCTTCCTCCCAGGCTCCTAAGAAATAATTCAAACTCTTTGTCAACCTGCTACCTGTTTAGGCCACACCACCAAGTCCTAAGGGACAGGCAGGGAGCCTTGGGAAAACAAGGACAGGGAGAATGCAAGACAACAGGGAGCTGGAAGGGAGTGAGTGGCCAGGGCCACTGTCAATCAGTCTCRGATAACGACCTTGAGGGATTCTAACATCAGCTCCGAGCCCCCCTCCCCGACACTCCTTAACTAGCAACCCAGAATCMGGATAAAAACAAGCTCCATGATTTTTGTTTCTCTACCATGAGGAGAAAAACAAGAAGATTTATCACTGTATGTATCTATGTGGCTGCATGACCAATATGATTCTGCAACATGTACACTCAGAAAAATGAGAAATTACATCCCATCTATGTATGACATATCAAAGTGCATAAATACATTCGACTGTCATGTATAACTAATTAAAATAAATTAAAAAAAAAAAGAAGATGRTGACAGGTCCAAAGCTCGGCTGGGTCTTTCAGTGAACACTCATTCGTGACCACCAGGCATTGCTGCTGGGGTCTGATGGGTACCAGGTGAAGTGGCTGAGAGACGTCCACCAGTCGCCCTCCCTCCCTCCCTCCCTCCCTCAGCAAGACGAAGCTGCATCCTCTGCTTGGCACAGCACAGGCCTCGCCCCACGCAGGATTCTGAGCAGTGCGAGCCCGGCTACACTTGCCATCTCCACTCCAGCGCCCGGCCATCTCCCTCATGCCGTGGCTCCTGTCACCCCTTCAGAATAGGAGCCCATGCCACCTCTTCACGTTAGAGAACAACCCATGGAATAAAGCTAGGCCGCTAAGCTCCACGCGCACCAAGAAAACAAAAACCCGGGAGAACACAGAAGGTGAACTGATTGGTCCCTTTGAAGGACTCCTCCCGCTGGCCAGCCTAACTTTGGGGCCACACTGACCACAGGATGTTGGGATCAGTCTCCTTGTTCTCCTCGTTCTCACCACAGAAAACAAAGGCAACAAAAAACCATCCTTATAAACGTACACTGTTCTTTACACATCTTCAGAGGTTCAATGACACCTACGTTACTTAACCCACAGACACCCCAGCATGTGGACAGCAGCTGGACCTTCCTGGTTTCTCCCTTACAGCATAGGACTGCTTGCTCTTGGGGTCTGCCAGGAGACCTGAACGACTGAAATGCTTTGGCCAATGAGAAGCAGCCTCCCAAACAGTGGTGAAGCCAAAGTCTAGCTGTGGGGACTACAGCCACCTCTCGGCGTTTTTATTATAATAGCACTCTGGGACACATACATTGTGTAATAAAAGTGAACACCCTTTAACCTATTGAGATAAATCACAGTACTGTACTACTCTTTTCTATCCAGGCTTTTTGAGCTTTGTTTCAATCAATTCCCTCTTGGATCCACGTTTGTGGCTTCCTTCGCTGTTACCCAAAATAACTCCAACAGCAAAATACCAGCATACTTAAATGGGTGCTCAATAAACATTTGTTGAATAAATGAGTGAATAATTATCAAAATACTGGACTTAGGCCCCTGAGAGGTTTGCAGCTCTCCTCTGCTACCCTGGCCAGTTCTCTCCCAGTTCTCAGCTTTCCTCCCAGGCTCCTAAGAAATACTCTAAATTTATTTGTCAATCTGCTACCTGTTTAGCTACATCAGTGGTTTATAGAATAATGTGTTTTTATGTGCAAGAATCTGCATTGAAACAGGACTTGACAACAGGACTTAACAACAGGCATCAACTAGCATTAAACATCAGCCCGTTTCTGCCTTAATAATTCTACTTCAAAAAATCATGCAATCCAAATACAGCGACTATGTGCCTGAGAGCATGTGTATTTACAATCAGAACACTGGTATTTAGACACTCAAAAGTCAGATTTGAAATATAAGCACTATCGTGGAAATAGTTAATAACAAACATCGATGTTTTATAGCATAAAAGGTCTAAAGAAAAAGAAACATGCATTATGTTCAACCTAAATATCTGTTTTTGAAAAATGTGATCAACTCAATTTCTTCATCAAACCTCTAAAAACATAGCTGTACACAGAAGTGTCCATTCCACCCAGCTAACAATAAGCATCTTCCAGAAGGACTTTTTCGTTTTAAGATGTGTAACAAGTAGGCCAAAGAGAATGTGCTGGTAAGAAACTATTGGATAAAACGGCTGATTTTCATCAAAGCTTAAATCTAATCACAACACGAAAATGTAGTTTTACCAGTATCGAAAAATTTAAAATTTCTTAAGGTATATTCCGACATCTTTGTTTTTAAATTCGCCCACTTTTGATTATACTGTTAGAAAATAATTGGCCCTAAAATAGTTTGGACATAAGTTTGTTCTTATTGAGTTCGCTGCAAAGAAGTTGAGAAATAAGCTAGTAAATAATTCTATTTGCTTTAGGGGGAAAATGTCTTAAATAAACAAAGTTAGTTACATATTTGGCAATCCTAAATGATAAGAGATGGTGTTAAATGTTTGGCAAGTAAATATCAACGGAACAACACGGTCAGCATTAAAATGTAGCTCTCATTTGAGCTCAGTCCCTGAACTTTCTGTCTTCTGTTATAGTTTTTAGCGTGGACACGAATGATCTTGCGATCAGTTCAAGAATGAGGACTGTGGTCAGGCAAACAYGTCCTTTCCAGTGCCTCTCAGCTGCCTTTCATGGGGTGGCGTCCATGTTAGGAGTGTCAGGAAGGTGGGTGCAAAGCAGCATACAGAACAAAGGTTGTCACTTTGGCAACCCACACAAACACCAAGTGATTTCGTTTTATTGAAAATCAAAATGATRATGAGTAAAAAGTGGAAGAAAACACTTCAGCTTAACAATTCAAACACCTGTATTAGATTTCATATGTTTTAAAATCGCATTTGTCCATTAAATGCCACTCTCAGAAATACTGATATGCCACCATAATTTTATAAAGACCACCTTAAACAATTGATCATTTAAGGCGCRCAATCATAGAAAGCTATGGACAGTTTGTTTTTGTCAAAGGATTAACAAATCAATGATTACATACTCAAAACAAAAGCACAGATCCAGGAGCAGTYTTTTATACTGTCCAAAAAGATTAGTACTTATGTGAATATGTCCGATTTTCCGGCATTCTCCCAGTACATAAAATAAAAAGAAAATCTATGATTCCAGGAAGTCATCATCTATGCCTCAAACTCTGTTTTAGAAATAGAATACTTACTGACAATGAGGGTGGTCCACAAAATGCRTGCTTCCCAGTTAACCTCTCCTACAACAATACTGATTTTTAAGATCAGTATTTATCACAATCCAACCTGGTTATAACCAGGCCTGACAGGAAGCATCTATTGTCATGAAAWTACATATAAAGTATATATCTAWGTAAAACACCAGGTAGAATTTAAAAGAAAATCGATGGACTTTCTAGATTTTCTTTTTGCCTAAAATATTTTGAGAGAGCCAGGCTATAGTAACCGTTGAATAATAAAACCTAATCAACTAAAAAATAATGGAATTTTTCTCCAACTATTTCAAACACAGCCACTACTTCTTTCCCAGAAGATTTAAATCTCTGGTCTCTACCATTCCCAGCCATTTCTGCCAACATTGTGAAAATCACCTTTTATCATTCCTCCCCACAATGAGAATTCACTAATCGCACACATCTTCAGACATAGACACCTACCCACCCACCTCCCCACCCACCTCCCAAAAATGGTTCAGAGCAAAGACACACACAAAAATAATGACCAAGCTCACATTTCTTGCCTGCCCTTCRAGCGAAGTCTGGTGTCTTCAGCTTGCCTTTCTGGGCTCCAGTGTTGTCACTAATTGCTGGGGAGGTAGTTTAGGACAGCACGAAGCAGCAGAAATAAAAGCTGTTGCTTTAAGACATCGTTTTCTTAAACACATGGATCAAGCAACTTTTACTCTGCCCTCCTGGCTGGGCTGCATAAAATCTTAGAAAGACTCCTTAAAAACTTAATGTCTACAATGGGAAAAAATAAAATAAAATAAAGTCTAAAAACTTACGTTCTGAACACATTCCGAAGGATGTCTGATTGGATTTGAAAGCAGGTTTGTACTGATGAACAAACTTTATTTTGTAGAAAATTTAATTCTCTCTAATTAGAAATTTGCCTTGCCATCTTCTATGTTCATCCTGTCTCTCATGGTATAATCATATATGCAAAAAATCAAATACAGTATTTCCCACATGCATGGACACTGTGGAAGCCTCCTTTTGAAAAAGGCTTTTATTTCCCTAAATACTGGTGACTAAACGTCATTGTATGTAYCAACACTTTCAAATAGCCCACGAGACTTAAAAAGCCTTCTAAGTTTGAAAACCAAAAAGTTCTGAGTTTTCTGTACCCAGGACGGTTTTCTTCCTGAAGCTCAAGCCGAGAAGGCAGACAAAAGAAGCGGATTCGACTGAGCTGTGCCAAGTCTTGCCTTTTTTTCTTTCCTCAGCTCTCCCTCTGCCTCTCTCTCTCTCTCTCTCCCTCTTTCTCTCTCTCACTCTTTTGCTCCCAGTATGGCAACCTTCCGAGCAGTCTTGGCGGAGGTCCAGGCTGTGCCAGTCTGTCTGAATTCTTGTCTCCAAAAGATGTCCTTTGCGGATCAATTAATACATTTGAAAACAGGAAACCGTGGTACGGTACCCAAATCCTGGCACCAGCAGCACCGACTCCTGCCAAATCACCTTACAGATTTCATGGTGTCCTACCTTTCATAATCATGACTAACATGTTCCCGGAGCAATAATGGAATACTAGAAGCCTTTCACTGCTCAGCAATAGGGAATCTGTTCCCTAGAAATGTCCATATGCAACATATGCACAACCTGCAGTGAATCAGAATTCTCCTGTGAGAGGAGATGTATGTAACTTTAATAAGCACCACATACTGTATTTCTTTTTATAAGATTTGCTTTTCCTTGTCCTGCTGCAAAGAATCATGGGAGAGTAGAAGAGCAGGCATGCAGATTAAAATTAAAACTGTATGCCCAAAGATGCCATGCTTTATTCTATGGGGGATGAGCACAGTTCTAATTGATCAGTAACTCTAATTTTTAAGGAAATTCTAATATGAACTGTATGTATCCAAAATTTTACTGGAGAAAAAAGGGTTCTTTTCCAAACAGAAATATCAATTTAAAAAAGGAAAGGGAAAAACAGGGTGAATTTAGTAAAAGAATCTTTTCATAGTTTGACACCTCAAATTTCAACATAGTCACTTGTCTACTAAATTCATACTAGTATAATTTAATAAGCATAAGTAAACACTGTTTCTTTTTATTTGTAGCATGTGCACCTTCTGAAGCWAAATAGTCTACGCTTAACACAGTTTAACTGGTGTAATAATTCATTTTTACCTTTGATGCTTGAAATAGAAAATAGCCACACTCTAGAATCACCAGTTTCACAGATAGAATCCAAAATTATGAGTTCCAGTCCTTGGGTCTGCACATTTCTAATTTAGGTAACCTTAAGGTTTTGCATTGTTTAACCTATATAGTTTTCAGTTTGTTCATCTACCAAACATAAAAATCTTCTCCTCTGTGCTGCCAGAAAACTTGGTTGATATTCACAGAACCCTCATCCTAATGTCATAGCTACTAGTTGCCAACAAATGTGTCGTCATCACAGACCATGTAACACTTATCTAAGAAAACTGGAACACTTGCATAAAGCCTTCCAAATGCAGGTGTTCAGTAAACCAAGTAGATGACTTATGGTAAAGAATCATGCAAATACTAATCTGAAGTTCTATAAAAGTATGAAATGTGATACAAAAAACAAAGCCACATACTATTAAATCATAAAGTTGAAGGACCAGGGAAATGCTACAGAGATGAGATCATGAGAGTTGTATTAAAGCTCTAAAAAAACTGTCCAATGCTATCCACTCAAAAGGGATGATGAACTATGGGCAGGATGTTAGTAGATTTTAAATTAATAATCAAATCATTGACAGCCAAAGACAAAGAGAATTCTGAAGCAGCAAGAGAGACRAGTGACTCATCGAGTACAGGGCATCCTCAATAAGACTAACAGCTGATTTCTCACTGGGAACCATCACCGCCAAAAAGCAGTGGATAACAATTTTGAAGTATTGAAAGGGAACAAAGATGTCAACTAAGAATTCTGTATCCACAAAACTTTTTTTTAAATAAAGGAGATATTAAGATATTCCCAGATAAATAAAAACATAGCAGTTATCACCAGCAGACTAGCACAATAAGGAACATTAAAGAAACTTTTCCTTTAAGCTGAAATGGAAGAAAATGAGACAGTAACTTAAATCCACAGGAAGAAATACAGAGTACAAGTGAAGGGAATTACAGAATTGAATATCAAAGATGGTATAAGTGTACTTCTTGTTCGTAACTCTGTTTCTCTTGTTTGATTTAAATTATAGCAGTATAAAATTATTGGTATAAATATATGCTGATGGACACACATTGTATAATGAAGTAATTTATAACACAAACAGAGTGAAGGAAGAATAAGAGCTTAGAGGAGCAAAGTTTTTATATACTATTGAAATTAAGTTGGTAGTAATGGGAATTAAATTGTTATAAATAAAAATACTAACTATAATCCCTAGAGCAACCATAAAAAAAATAATTCAAAAATATATAATAAGAGACATGACAAGGGAATTAAAATGCTACCCTAGATTTATATAACATAAAAAGAAAGCAATAGTGGAAGAACAGAAGAGCAAAAAAGACAAAGAGGCATAGAAAATAGAAAAACAGCAGAAGTAAATCCTACCTCATCAGTAAGTATATTAAATTTAAATGAGCTAAGCATTCCAAATAAAAAGCAGAGTTTGGCAGACTGTGTTTAAAAGAATAAAATCAAAATATACTCCATCTACATGCTGTCTATAAGAGACAAACTAGATTCAATGACACAAGAAGGATAAAAGTACAAGGCCAGGAAAACATATACCAAGCAATCAGAAGAGAGATGAAGTGATCATACTAACAATAAACAAAGCAGACTTCAAGTCAAAATTTGTTACTAGAGACAAAAGAGGACATTTTWTGATAATAAAAGGGTCAATTCATCAAGAAGATACATCCAAACTAGGTGCTGTGGGACACACCTGTAATCCCAGATACTCAGGAGGCGAGGTAGGAGGATCGAAAGTTGGAGGCCAACCTCAGCAACTTAGCGAGACTCTGTCTCAAAATAAAACAAAAAATACAATTTTAAAAAGAAGATGCATGCATTATAAACATATATAATAATAGAACCCCAAAATACATAAAGCAAAAAATAAAAATAATTGAAGGGAAAATAAAATTCAACAATAACCTCACAATAGGGAATGAATTTCAATATGAATTTTGAGGGAACATTCAAAGTATAGCAATAACCAATAAAAAATAATAAAGACTAAGGTAGAAATAAATACAGAATAGAAAATAAAAGTCAGACAAAGATCTTGCAAGAATACTACAGACCATGACTTCACACCGTTTGAATGGCTATTACTGAAAAGAGAAAAGATAACAAGCATTGGTGAGTAGGTGGAGAAAAGATGACACTTACCATTGGAAGGTAAATCAGTGTAGACACTGTGGAAAACAGCAGGGTGGTTTTACTATCACATACACTGGCAACCCCACTACTGGGTATAGCATCCGTAGGAAATGACATCAACGTGTCAAAGGATTTTCTGCACTGCCATGTTCATTGTAGCATGGTTCACAACAGTCAAGATGTCGAATGGCATGTCAATCGGCTTAACTTAGCCATTCTACACAGTATCATGTTGTCTATTAAAAATACATACAGGGCTGGGGTTGTGGCTCAGTGATGAAGCACTTGCTTAGCAGGTGTGGGGCAATAGGTTCAATCCTCAGTACCACATAAAAATAAATCAATTAATTAATTAACCAATTTTTTAAAAAAATATATGATTTTATGTCAATTTTAAAAAGAAAAAATAATAAAATAAAAATTAAAAACACCACTACAGACCAATAACACTTATGAATATACATGCAAAAGTTCTGAAGGAAATACTAACAAACTGAATGCAGTTACATATAGAAATAATAATAAACCATATGTAAGCAGGATTTCTCTGGAATATAAGATTAATACATCATATAAATATCAATGGTCATCTCTATAGAGACAGAGAAAGCATTTTCAAAAGCCAACACCCTTTCATTATTTAAAAAAGAAAAAAAAAGGAAATAATCAACAAATAAGAACTAGGAGACTTCCTCAAACTGATAAAAGGCATCTACAAAAAAMCAAGARCTGTCAACAAACTGAAGGCCAGAGCTTTCCACACTGAGGCCAAGAGCAAGATAGAAGACTTGTTCGTCCTACATTTGTACCAACATTGACTGGAGGGTCTAAGCAGACAATTAGGAGAACAAACAGGGAACAGCATCCAGACTTGGAAGGAAAAGGTAAAACTACCTCCATGCATGAATGGTATCATCTTACATATAGAAAACTTACAGAATTAATACACACACACACACACACACACACACACACACACGCACAATGATACAGTCCAACCTACAAAAGTCAGTCACACTTCTATACACTGCAATGTGCAATGAATGATCTGAAAATGAAATTAAGAAAACTATTACATTTATAACAGCATTTTTTAAATCCTTAAGAATAAGGTTGGGGATGAAGCTCAGAGGTAAAGTGCATGCTTAGCATGTGTGAGGTGCTGGGTTCAATCTCCAGCACAAGAAAGAAGAGAGGAAGGAAGAAAGGGAGGGAGGAAGGGAGGCAGGGGAGGAGGAATGAAGAAAAATWAAAAAAGAAATTTAAATAAAGAAGTAAAAGATGTGGACACTGAAAAGTAGAAGACACTGTTGAAAGAAATTAAACACAACCTAAGTAATTGGGAAAACATTCCATGTTCATGAACTGTGGAATTAATACTGTTAGATCTCCAAATTGATCTACAGGCTCAACACAATACCTATCAAAATCCCAGCTGACTTTCTATAGAAATTGATAGATTGATCCTAAAATTCATATGAAAATACAACAACCCAGAATAGATAAAACAAACTTTTAAAAGAAAAACAAAGCTAGGCACAGTGGCATACACCTGTAATTCCAGAGTCTGGGGAGGCTGAGGCAGGAGGATCTCAAGTTCAAGGCCAGCCTCAGAAACTTAGCAAGGCCCTAAGCAACTAAGCAAGACTCTGTCTCAAAATTTAAATAGATAAATAAATATAAAAAGAAGAACCAAAGTGGATGCTTCACACCAATTTCAAACTTACCACAAAGTTATAGTAAACCAATCAGTGCGATTTATGACAGAAGGATGGACAGAGGGACCAATAGAATAGAACTGAAGTCCAGGGGGGAAAGAAACACATACAATTATCCCCAACTTACTTAGACAAATGACAAGAAAATCCAGTAGGGAAAGAGTAGTCTTTTCAACACATGATGSTAGAACAACTGGATATCCAACATATGAGAGAATAGATTTGAAGCCCTACTTCACCCACCTAA